CGTGTGTCGTATACAATTTTTCTGTATCCCCAGCCGAAAGTACGTTAAATAATTATTGTTTAAGTAATAAAATAGCTCAATAAGTTGCCCGCCCGACTTTTGCAAAGTCGAGGCGAAGCCGAGACTTAGCTGGTCGGGGCGGGCATGAAAAAAAAATTATAAGTAAAAAATAATTGTAAGTAAAATTTAAAAAATAGTAAACAAGAAATTTTCTTTTACAAATAAATATTTAATAATTAAAAAATAATAAAAGAAAATAAGAAATTTCATGCATTTTTTTGATGACTGTCAGTTGTTTTCAAAACGTGAGCTCTGTATGTAACGTGTCTGTGTGGTTGCTATGCTAACATGTACGTGTGTTGAAATTCTTGTAACCAATCAGAGCCGTATTCAACACCACGATTTGCTTCAATCAAAAAAAATTTTCTTGGTTTAATACTTTTTGTTCAGTGCAGTAAATATTTACTTAGTTCAAATAAATAAAAATAAATAAGTGAAAACAAATAAGTTTAAATACAACCGAACGAGCGTTAGCGAGTGAGGTATATGTCGCTAGTTTATTATAAATTTTTTAGAAAAACAAAAATTAATTAACGGCACCTTTGAAAAATGAACATTTCTAAAATTTAGCGGTTTTTAATATTTTTTGTACATAAGAATGTAATATAATAGTTTGTTTGTTTTGTCACCGCAGTCAATACAAAGAGGTTGACGCAGCGTGTACAATTATTAAATTATTAACATACTTTTTCTTTTTTTAAAATTCGATTTCCAATCTTTTCACACATAGCCTTAATATACACTGAGAGACCTTTGGGACCGTAGCAGAACAACGTATGTGACCTCCACTATGGTTTTGGTGCGCTGCGGTAAAATTTTGGGCGCGTGACAGTCCCAAATGTTGGTGAGCAGCTCACCGAAGAAGTGGGAATGCCGCCTTTGGTTTGCAGCTAAACAACTTTTGGACTGTCACGCGCCCAAGATTTTACCGCAGTAACCCAAAAGTATAGTCCTGTAGCGTTCCTCCAAAATGGTCAGTAGCAGCCTATCGAAAGTCTGCTGCTGACCCAAAGGTCTCTCAGTGTAATAAAAATGCCACGTATTATAATTAAGCTGCAGAAAATTTTATATTTTCTGATATAGAAAATCATCTTCTAGGCCATCATATCATCAGGGTTAAGGTTACTGTTATATAAAGTTTGCGTGACTGTACAAATAGAGGGAGTGAGGTGAAGAAAGATATTTTTCAGTCTAGTCACGAAGTCTCGTGACAGTTTCTCAATTTTATTACTTTTTAGATCAGATAACAACAGAGGCAATTTCTAAAGAAAAAATAATTTTCGACGTGAATGACAATGAAACTTTAATCTAAGACTTATATTTCTTACAAGTTTTCACGTGCAGGTACTACACTATTCTTGTTTTAATAAATAAGCAGAAAATTATGTTTTCAAAATTATTTTATTTATTGTAACTAGGTATAATAATACTTGTTTAAGCGCGCATGTAGTTTCCTCTTTTAATAAGGTCCCAATTATGGAACGCTTTTTAAGGCACGGTGTGCTTGAATAAGCTCTGGATATTTCAAAATTTTTAAGTATTTTCTTTATAAGTTTAGATTTTGTTTTAATTAACTATAAAAAATTTAGTTTATGATACAGAACTAAATAAATAACAAGATTTCTAATTTAAAGCATGAAAATTATTTATTTTATCAAGTCAACAATAGAATTAAAAAATTTGTTTGAACATAAAATTCTAATATATATAATAGTTATTTACGATACAAGTGCGTAAAGTGAGTGATTATACGTTAGGGTGGAGCGAAAAAATCGATTTTCGATTTCGAAATTCTAAGAGTGCGGAAAAGTTCGTAACATGCTCATATTGAACAGTGTTAAATCGATTTTTGATCGGTTAATATTTACAGTCGCCCCAAGAGCATTAAAGTTTTGGAAAATCTCACAAATTTTGGCTTTTTTATACTTTTTTTAAAATTTATAGAGAGCTGTTCTTATTAAAGTTTCTCGTTGTTTTAGTCTACTAGAAACCACAGCTGGCTATGAGAAAAATATATTGAAGTGTATTATTCACGTGCGTACCCTGTATATTTGGTTGTCCAAAAGACAAAAAACCGTAACTTATTTTCGTTTAACCCTTTCAGTCCCATAATTTGGACAATTGAAAAATATTTCCAATAGGTATAGTACCTATGGTATTCGTGGTAGCTGATTACGAATCTGGAGTCAGATTTTCAAAATTTTTTTAATTCAAAATGGTAGATCCAATATGGCGTACGATGAAATTAAAAATTATTCAATTTAATTTCAAAGTCGTCACTCGGGGGGTTTTTGGGTTAGCTGATTACGAATCTGGAGTCAGATTTTCAAAATTTTTTTAATTCAAAATGGTAGATCCAATATGGCGTACGATGAAATTAAAAATATTTCAATTTAATTTAAAAGTAGTCACTCGGGGGGTTTTTGGGGTCGCTGATTACGAATCTGGAGTCAGTTTTTAAAAATTTTAAATGGCGGATCCAATATGGACGAAAAAATTTTTAATTAAACAAATTTGTTTAAAAGTTGACATTTGGAGATTTTTAGGGTCGTTAATTGCGAATCTGAAGTTAGTTTTTCTAAAATAATGGATACAATATAGGGGTCAAAAATTTAAAATTGACCATATAGGATTGAATCCTGCTTTTTAGAAGTTTTCAAGGTGTATATGCAAATATTTAAAAAAACAAAGCTCGCCTACTTTTAGTGGGAAGTTGACTTTCATCTGCTTTTTGGTTGGAGAAGGGCCACTTTTCAAGGTTATTAAATATTATTAAATATTTAACTTAGAAATCTTGTTATTTATTGTAGTTCTATATCATAAACTAAATTTTTTTATAGTTAAATAAAACAAAATCTAAATTTATAAAGAAAATAGTTAAATATTTTGAAATATTCATAATTTAAAAAAACGCACTTTACAAAAAAAAAATTAGAAGAAATATTTTCGTCTTAAAATAGTCCAAAATAATTAAAAAATATATTTTTGACCAAAAAAGTTTTTTTTAAATATATTTCTGATCAAAAAAGTTCTTTTCCTGAATTTACCGAATTTTAACCCTTAAAATTAACCCTATTAAAAACAGCCATACCGATTTTTTCTTTTTTTATTGGAAAATACTCAGGGAGCCCCAAATTAATAAAATCTGTCGAAAAACTTCATTTCGGAGAACTTTTTATTTAGACTTCATTCAAGCACACCGTGAAGGGGTTGTCCCCAGTTGCAACGCAAAAAATAGACTATTTTCGTAAATTTTTTTAACGAAAACTGATTAAATATTCTAAACGATCAATATATTATCTGAAAGTATATATATTATATACGCTTTAGTATTTTTTTATTAAAAAATATTAAATAATTTTGTTAGAAATTTCTGCTAAATGAAGTGTTCTTTTTATTATTTTGTTTTGCGGTGACCAAAATTTTAGTGAACTGGATCATGTGAAACAAAAAATGTCAATAAATTTAGTCAAATAACACTATACAAACTGTCTTTAATTGAAGGACTTATAAAAATAAGCAACCCTTTTTGACATAATGTCTGACAATCAAAATTCGTGTTTCGATTTTCACTAAAGAAACGGTCGTTGTTTTCGGCTATAAAACAACCATTTTTTATCGAAAAAAAATCAAACGATTAAAGACTACATTTTTTATGTATTGAAGAAGCCTTCCAAATTTCAGAAAGATCGGTTCAGTAGTTTTCAAGTTATTTTGGACACCGTGTACAGATAGTAACTCTTCACACCGTTTAAGTATAAAGCTTCTTATATTCAGATTATAGTGTATATATGCGTCTGATGGCGTTCCAAAATCATATTTTTGATTTTCGACAAAATTTTTAATTAATTTTTTTTGGTTGAATATTGTTTCATTTTTTATTAAGTTGGTATTGATATCTGTTGATGTTTTTAAATTTTTAATTATGTTCATTATATTTATTTTATTAAAAAGTTTAGAGTCATGAATTTGATGCTTATTACGAATATTCTAAAATCAATTATGAACATAAAATACCCTTAAGCCCTTGAGTGTGAGGGTACGTCTATAGACGTACATTTTAAATTGTGCTTCTAGTGTGAGGTTCGTCTATAGACGTACATACAAAAAAATTGATAAAAGGCAGAAAAAACAAGTAAATTTACATAACACATACGCTATTTATGGTATTTCCGACGCTGAATCCGAATTTGAAGTCAAATTTTGAAAATTCAGATACCAAAATCCAATATAGCTGCTCAAAAGTAGACTATTTTGAAGGTTACTTTTATTACATTAAATCTCAGGCAGCATATATTATCTTATCAAAATAATATCTCACATCATGACCAGATAAACTGTTTAGTCACATGTCAGTGATTTGGCAGCATATCTTGTCAAGTAAGACTCGCTATCAACTCGAAAGAAACTGCTATATCAATAACGAATAAAATATGTGGTCAAAACTGCGAAAAATTAAAACTTTGGGAACGTGACAGAGAAACGATTATAACTTTTAAATCAAAAATACAAAAATTTTTATATAAATTGGTAAAGAGTCATATTTTGAAATGCATGTTATTTAAAAATTATTAATGTTTTAAAAAGGCAGTTACTTTAGACTTTTCTGTTTGTGACCATATGGAACATAGAATTTTGTTTTTTTTCCTCTTGTTATTGGAATAAATATTTACTAAATATTTCGTCTGTAATTTGAGATTCTTTTTTTCTAAGACAGGAGACGTAAACATAGAAAGAAGAAAAGTGTAAAAGCTTATTATATATTTGTAAAATGGTACCAGAAATACTTTCTTAAATAAAATCACATGCGAAAAAATCCACAGCATGACTAGTAAGGTCTTGAAAGAAAATAAGCGTGCTGCGCACCTGCAAGCACCTGAAAGCGATTGCGTGCTTTCCTAGCTCTTTTAACAGTAAGTATCCAAGAATCGAATCGCGTGTACCTTTATATTTCTCTATAACAATTTCTTGGGATATTTCAAGTTCTAATCAGTATAAAAGAGTCAGATGTTACGCCGAGAACCAAAACTGATAAATTTATTAATCAGTCTTTAGATAAAAAAAACCAAAACTGATACCTTTATTAATCAGTCTTTAGATCAAATGTTTAACACTAAAAATATTAATTAACTATCCAAAAATTTAAATTTAACATGTAAGTTCATATCCTTTCCATAATATTACAAATAATAAATAAAAAGGTTTACAAAAAATTATATTGCGGCTTAGCCTGGCCGCGATTTGTTAAGATAATTTTTAATCTGGTGATATCATTGAGCGCCGGGCAGAAAAAGTTTCCTTTTTACCTAGAGAAACAAATACGAAAATACTTAAGTTGATCTATAAATAATTAATAGACCCAAAAACTTAATAATATTATAGAAGGGAGATTTTAATGACATTTTGAATTTTAATATTAATTTCATGAAGTTTTGAATATCTCGGACTATTGTTTATGGATTTTTATGAAGTTTACACATTTTTCAGGTAAAAAAGTGTACTTTAAAATAAAAATAATGTTAATAAAAAAATTAGTTTTTAAATAAAAAAATTTTTTAAACAATTTTTAAACAATTTTTTTTATTATTTACTCATCTTTGAGAAGTGTTATTAACATATTTGGAATCCTTATGAATTCACCTTTAATTTAATAAAACAAAATTGATGAAGACTCATCTGGTTCCGGAGATATTGGACTTTTTGTAAAAAAGACTAGCTGCAGCAACAAGGTGAGCTTTGAATAAAAACCTAAAAGTTCTTGCCCATTCAATTTTTTTTGGTATTGTTTCAGTAAAGCCATAAAATAATTTAAAGACAAAAATTTTCGATTTTTTTCATTTCGGATATTTAAAAAATCTTCATTTGTTAGTGAGTTAGGCAAATTCTACCAAAATTGAGTAGAAATAGACTAAACTTCGATAATATAGAAAAATTTAACTACAAACATCTAAATTTCAAATGGTTCTACAGATTTTCGGTATAACTGGATACGAATTCTATGTCAGATTTTCAAAATTCAAAATAGCGGATCATCGTATATGGCAAACGATTTGGTAAATCTTACATCATATTCGCATTCAGTTGTACCAAAAATACACAGAAGTATTTGAAATTTATATCCTGGTTTGTAGTAATATTCTTCTTCATTATTATCAAAGGTTTGTTTGTTTTTACTTAGTTTTCAAAGAATTTGCCAAACTCAGTAAACAGAATGAACGATTACTCAGAGGAAAATGAAAATAATTTAAATTTCAAAAATGTATTTTAAAGAAGAAAAGTAGCGTCTTCAGATGAAATATTGAACTTTTGGCATAACAATTATTTTTTGATGTTAAAAAACTGGTCTTTCGCACTTTTGAGTTAAAATACCTCGAAAACCTGACGTGCTGGGTCTACTATGACGCTGGATTCGGAATTATCACGTTGAAACCTTTAGAAAATTATTCTTTGTTTCTTGTAAATACAGTCAACTCTATGAATAGTGCCGCAAAATTGCACAGCGTTTACGACTTTTCTTGGAACTGTAGTACCCCCACTGTTTGTATATTTCTCTCTTAGGGGAAACTCGAAATTCAGAAGCTGTGTTAGAGTCGCTAAAGTGGGGATAGAGCTCGAGCGAGAAAGAGGAAAAGTGGCACTATTGATAGCGGCACTATTGGTAGAGTTGACTGTACTGTCGGTCTGTGGTAGTGTGGTACAAACAGTTTCTAAATTTTTGAAAAATTGATGATAAACGACAATTTCTTCATCAATTTTGGAAATTTTTAAGGCTCTACAGTAATTTTCTGTGCTTTTTACCATAGAAAATCTTTGTCGATGCTAAAAAAAATTTGAATCCTCCGGCTGCTACTCTTGAAAAAATTGTTTTTCCATAGAATTTCTTTAAAGTTTAAGAAAATATCTCTTCGGGTGCCCTTTAAATGTGGTAAAAATTTGAAAACCCTTTGCGATGCTAAATTTTGAGATATTGAAGTTCAAACTTTAACTTTTACATGCGATTATGTTAAAAATAAAAAATGTCAACCACAATATCTCGTTTTTTAACATGGCAAAGAGTTTTGAAATATTTACCACATTTAAATATTTACAAAGAAACATTATCTCAAAATTTGAAGAAAATCTATTGAAAATCAATTTTTTCAAGAGTAGCAGCCGGAGATATACCTAAAATTTTTTATTTAAAAATTAATTTTTTTATTAACTTTATTTTTATTTTAAATTACAAATTTTTATCTGAAAAATGTGTAAATTTTATAGAAATCTACAAACAATATTTCGAGATATTCAAAATTTTATAAAATTAATATTAAAATTCAAAATAGCGTATCTTTAACAATTTTTGAATTAAAAAAAATTTAGGGAAAGAAGTCTCTTATATATATATATACATATATATATTATATTTTTAGTATAGCTATACAGAAAAGAACTATTTTTTTTAAAGAAACATTAAAAATTGCTGCAAAAATGCAATAAAATCTCTTTTTTCACATTTAATCAGTTTTTGGGTCCATTAATTATTCACACATGCACTTTATTATTTTTGTATTTGTTTTGTTAGATGACAGGGAAACTTTTTCAGCCCGGCACTCATTGATATTAAATAATTTTACAAAAATAGCCAGGCTATTGCGGCTTCTGCAAACCTTCTGCAAAAGCAAAATTTTCTCATTACTGCACTGCATACAGGTATGAGGAGCAATTTTGCGCTGCAAAATTTCTGGGCAAGCTTGAGGTAAGCTTGCATGCTTTAAAGTTGTAAAAATATTTTGTTACTTGCAGCAAGATTTTCACACAAAATTATTTGAATATTAGGATGATTGACAAATTTATTCTCCGTAATTCAACTTTCTTGAATTCTGTTTAAAAAAAAACGTTAGTAGTATAGCTATAGGGGTACTGCTCCAGGTTCTGATCTCGGCTAAGTACCCTCGGTCGGTAATGCAGATTCCTACATTATCAGCGGCGGCTAGGGTGTGCTCTACCTTACTGACCGACTTAGTTCCGGCTGTCACCGCTAGATGGCGCCACTTGCAAATTTCAAACCCCTTTGGCGGGAAATTTAAAAAATTATTTTTTATACTTTTAAGTGGGTTAGAAAGGGTCCTCTGTTTTACCGACCGGGTATTGGTATGGGGTTGTCCCGATAGATGGCGCCACTAAATTTTTAATATTAGTGAAAAAATTATTGTTTAAAAAATATTAATTGAGGCCTTGGATCCAATAACTCGCCCGACGCTCGGAGGAACGCGCAACTGCCAGTCAGTAAGCAGTGAGCGCCTCTGGGCCACTCACTGCTACCCGACTGGCATTAGCGCGTTCCTCCGAGCGTCGGGCGAGTTATTGGATCCAAGGCCTCAATTGTAAACATTTGTTTATTATATATAAAAAATATTAATTGTAAATATTTGTTTATTATATAAAAAATTATTGCTTAAAAAATATTAATTATACATTGTTTATTATTAATATTTATTTAATTAAGGTAAGTTTAGTTATTATTATTATTTATTACTATTATCATTATTTTATTAATTATAATCAATTTATAATTAGGTAAGTGAAATTATTACTTAAAATTATAAAAAGCGTTTCGAATTCAAATTGAATTTCACGCTAACTTTACTCTCGATATATTTGAATCGATGTTGTGCCTGCTCCAAGAGAATGGAGTCTCTCTATTGGTTAATTTTTTCATCGAGAAATAAATTAAATAATAACATAGAATTTTTATTTAAAATAATAATTTTATAATGAAATTTTAATAATTTGGATATGGTTAATAATTTTAATATTTCATAAATATTTATTTTAATTTATCTTCGAAACTCACGTTTGTGATTTCCACCTTTTTATAATACTTTATTGCGCGGCGGGAATTTTTAAATTTGATTTCACATAATACTTTAAATTTATTATTTAATATATTTATTAAGTAATTTTATACCTAATATTGTAAAAAGAAAACACTTAAATTTTTAATTAATTAAAAAAATTGGAACAATTGTAAATATTGTAAAAGGATGGGGATTAATTACACAGCCCCACAAAAAAAGAAAAGTACCCTGCGCGAAAGCCCACAGTACCATACCCCTATGTATTTTAATGCGCTGAACACGAATCCGAAGTCCGAAATGGCGGCCAAAATTTAAAAATTTGGTGGATTTTCACTTTACTTGGTATATAGGGGTTTTCGGGGTCGCTGATTACAGATTTGCAGTCAGATGTTAAAAATTCAATATGGCGGATCCAATATGGCGGTCATTTTTTTGAAAATTGATTTATTTTGCTTTAAAATGGGTACTCAGTGGTTTTTCGGATCACTGATAACAAATCTTCAATTAGATTTTGAAAAATCAATATGTCCGTTTGAAAATAATGTAATTTTTATTTATGTCTGTTTATGGTAACGGACTCGTTTGGCTTCGAAAGACCTGTGCAGTAGTTTTCTTTTTAAGTTTACTCTTCCTGGAACAATATCCCTTTTTAGCATCCAACAATAGTCAGCCATCATATTTACGTCCCATCTGCCTTGATATCTGCTCTCCATTTCATTAATATCTTGATGAAACCGTTCTCCCTGTTCCTCGCTGTAGTCTCCTAAATTTTTTGGAAAGTAACTCAGATGTGAATGTAGGAAATGGAGCTTCCAAGAAAGTTTTCAATAACTCCCTTAAAACTAAGCCAAATGCAGCTTTCTTTTTTTTACTCATTACTGTGATAAATTTTTCATCTTTTACTAGTTTGCGAATTCGAGGCCCAACAAAAATTCCTTCCTTTAATTTAGCATCAGATATCTCTGGAAATTTTTGTTCCAGGTACTTGAAACATTTCCCTTCTTTATCTAAAGACTTTACAAACTGTTTCATTACCCCTAGTTTAATATGTAAAGGTGGTGGAATTACCTTTGTAGGATCAACTAGAGGTTTTTTTAATAATATTTTTGGAACCTGGTGTAAAGGATGTTCTTTTGGTCCATTTTTTTGTACGTAATGTTTTTTTCAATTTCTACTGTCCCACAAACATAAAAGCAAGGTGTTTTCGTAAAACCTGCTTGTTGGCCCAACATGAAACTTATAATTTTCAAATCTTCACAAATTTGTGAATTGTGTTCTTTATATTTAATTTTCTCCAAAACTAATTTGACAGTTTCAT